CCTGATCATTTATGTATACATTTGTCTATATCTATCTCGATTCGTTTTGGCTGTTACAAACAACCGTTATGTGAACAAAATTAATATACCCTTGTGCACAAGTGCGCTCGGGTATAAAAAAATACATATGTGTACATAGTGCTTGAAATTATCCATTTTTCCTTTACCTTAAACCCTTAAGAGTGGTCAACAATGGTGTTTTTGTAATTAAGGCAGAATTGAATATGCGCTATCTGGGAAGAGAATACCTGTAATATTTATTCTGTGTGTTGACACTGTATTCAAAGACAAACGCGTGTTAAGCAAACAGTGAAACAATTTGTCATTTTCTAAGTTTGCGAATAAAACTTCACACTTAAATTTAAGACATTCATAACAAATATTTTATGAAGAAAATCCCTGCTACGGCCTTCTTTATAAAAAATATATTCGTTTAAAATAAAAATAAGCGAAATCGGCCCAATTTTATATAGCCCTGCCTGACATGAAAAATTGCTTCGCGATAAGGCTAGTAGCCATTTCTAACAGGTTTTGGATCGCTTAGTCAAAAATGGAAACATATATATTTGAATTTTGAGAAAACAAGGCAAAAAGCAAAATCGGCTGAAAACGGCTATTTTTTAACAAAACGGCTAACAAATCGGCTGCCAGGTAAACCGAGATTTCTCTGGCTATTTGCTATCGCAACCGGCTAAATCTAACAGGAAACGGCTAAAATGGCAACAATGGCCGACACGAACATATTTAAGCAATTAGGTGATTCCCTTAAACTCGTAAAGTCTTAAACTGTGTAAAACTCGTAAGTTTGCGAGGCTTTTATGGGAACGCCCCCTTTGTGAAAAGGTGTAAATAGGTGCGTAAATTGGCTGTCTGACAGATCAACCAGGATTTTGTGAAGCAATTTTTGTTTCGTAGTATTTTCGATAACATCTCGCCATCTTGTCTCTATCACTCTTGCCTAAATAACACTTAAAAATGTGGAAAATTAACAGAAAATCGAAGTCAAAACATAGTTAGTGGATGAAATTCCTTCATTTTATTCGCTTATTACTTTTTACATTTATTTTCATTATTTTATCATACATTTTAGTATAACAATTTTGGCCCTTCGGCAACACTGAAGTTTACGAGGTAGTTTTGAGCATCAAATTTGCCTCGGAAATTTACGAGGGGCTCGTAAATAGAGTTCTATAAAAATTTTTACAGTTCTTTTACGAGGCTCGTAAATTTACGAGGTTTGGGAGGCTTTTACGAGTTTAAGGGAGACCCCTATTAACAGAAGTGCAGGCTGGCATTCGCCTTTGGCTACAACTACCTACATGTGTACACACGTATGTATTAGGGATGTTGCGAATGTGGAATTTTAGACATCCGCGGATGCGAATGCGGTGCGGATGTTTAAGAGCTAACATCCGCGGATGCGGATGTCATGTATTTTTAAGAAATAATTTAGGTGGGTAAATTATGTGATTTAGGTAATTAAAAAATGGAAAGGTTAATAATTTTTAATATTCTGCCTTATCCTGAGTTTTGCCCGAAAAAAAATTCACCCGATAATTTGTATTCCGCCCATAGTAAATATGTACATGAAAACCAAAAATGAAAAGTGAACCGACTCGGGGCAAATTATACTCATGAAAAGACTGAATGTTTTTTAGTACTTGAATTTAAAAATTGGAACATTGTACTTAATAAAAACTTTTTGAAGGGTCGTAAATCAAACCTGCGCCAATATATAACTACTCGCTCGAGGCGTAAAACTTGAAAAACTTGAAACTTGGCAAAATTGTAAATTCTTTTCGATTGACACTGCACCAGTTGAGAGGACTTTCAGTTATATTTATTTATTTTTATTGCGGTGCAATAATTACTTGTTGAGAATTTTATCGGGGCTGCAAATGTCGGATGTAACCTCCCGACTTTCATCTTCACAATCTAGCACCATGGCACAATCGTTGTTTAAACACCTTTTTTTTCAAAAGAATTCTTCATTCTCCTTTTTTTGGTTGTTTCGGAATTTGTCACGTCATCAGCGTTTTTCGATTTTAGTTTTTGTAATTCATTTTTAATGCTTTCTTCTGTGACTGGTTAGATATACGTCTGTGCACTTGCACAATATTCCAGGGACCGAAAATAACCGTTATTTTTTTCGAGTTAAATTGGGCCTAATATTTTTTATTCCGAAATAAACGTCCTATCCGGATAATAAAGAAACCGCTTATCCAAATTAAACAAATTTGGTATCATATGAAAGAGGACTGAAATAGCTTTTAAAAAGAAACAAGCGGGCCCATGCGCAGTCTGCGCAGACAGAAATACACAGTAAACTCATCCCTCTTTGTAGCCACAGATAGAATCAGACTGTTCTAATAGTTCGCGGAAATAATTATTCTTATAAACCCCTTATTTTTATTATACATATATTACAAAGCATTAATGAGATTTATAGTACATCAGAACTTATTTATACTTATTAGGTACATACATAAAAACATATTACAAACTGACTGATATATGAGTGTCATGAGTTGAGGGAAACATGGTGTCACTTACTTTGTATACAATATTGGAGGAGAAAATATATTCAGAATTAACTTTTTGATTAAATGTTTCTTTAACAGAAAAAATAATATCTGAGAATCGTCTTACTCTAGTTTAAAACAAAATGGTCCTCTACCCGAAATATTGGCAAAGTTCACCTGCACTGAAGCAAACGCAAGACCGTTGTTAAATTACGGATATACTCCAAATAGTTTTTTGTTATGTCATCACTGCGCTTTCATCTCATCGCGGACAGAAATTGGTGGTAAACTCACCTTGCTCTTGTGGCAACAGATGGATGCAGTATTATCAGCTGCCTCGCCTGGATAAAGTTTAGCTGAGCAAAACTCACATATCTTCACCATGCGTTCAGCACAATTTGATTCTATCTCATCGTCTTTAAGGAAGAGACGTGCACCGCAATACGTCTTTCGTAGCTTTTCTCGCCGCCTCCTTGCACTGACATCTTCACTTAGGGCTGTTTGCACCATGTCTAGTTAATTCTAACTCCCAGTTAAACATCTTTATCGACGTTATCGACACCCATCATATAACATGTGATCGATAAAGAAGTTAACGTGCTTAACTGAAGGATGTACCTCCAGTTAGCGTTAACTAGACATGGTGCAAACGGCCCTTAATCGCTGAAAATATCATGACACCAAAACACTACTAAATTGGGGAGTGAATTTTTGCCTTTCTTCGGCCCGTTGTTTCTGCCTTTGGTTCCTCATACATTCCCTAGCTCGTTGCAAATAGATCTGCCGTTGTTGCATATCTTGGTTTATTGGAAGGCAATTACGTTTTTTGCGATCAGCTGACACTCCCATACACTTTTTTCGAGGTATTGTTATGCGTAATTATATTAAATTGAATCCTATAGTAGTAAAAATGGTCATTACGATCAACAAAATAACTTTTTGAAATTATAAGGTTACCGATTTTATGTAGACTTTATGAGATAAACGCAATATGTCAGTATATCTAATGGAAAAATTTTTCTGTAAATGAAATGTTGAATTGAAAATCACCAAAAATACCATAATACCAAACACCAATATGCTTACCATACCAATAATACTCGTAATAAATGTATTGCTTAGCAGTTCTCATAAAAGGAATATCCGAATATTTTTCCGACAGGGTAGCCAGAAACAATATGGGCTGCAAATAAGATTGTGATGCGAAATTTACAAAAAAAACCATAATACCAATATACATATGAATGTACTTACCGTATCTACAATTTACGCGATAAATATATTTCTCAGCTTTTATCATAAGAGGAAAAAGTGAATATTTTTAACTGACAGCGCAGCCTGCTACAATTCTTATTATTGAAATTCCTATTATTTGGATTACAGTTATGTTTAAGCTTGAAGTCACAATAGCACAGTATTTTGAAGTTAAGTGTTATTATGGTGATGCCACAGATGGCGCGCTTTAACGGCTTCGTTCATGTACGAATTGTGTGGTTTATATTGCAGAATTGAGTAAGAATTCGTGAATGATTTCATGAAATCATGAAAACTAAAAAAAGCGGCATAAATATTTAGCAGCTATCAATACTAATCAAAAGTTTTGAAAAAAATGTTATTTGTAACTTTTTATTTTTATAGTTAAATATTTAAGTGTTTTCTGATATTATTTTAGACATAATAATCTATTGGGGGAAAATAGTGTATTTAAAATTTTTTATAAAGAAATAATGTTGTCTTGATGTTGTATTTAGTAGTAAAGATATATACTCGTATATAAATATACATAAGAACTGAGGAATACAAAAAGCATTTTAGGTTAAAGATTTAGATTTTGAATGCCATCTAAAGTGCACGATGACTCATACGTGAAAGATGTTGTCTTGATGTTGTATTTAGTAGTAAAGATATATACTCGTATATAAATATATATAAGAACTGAGGAATACAAAAAGCATTTTATGTTAAAGATTTAGATATTGAATGCCATCTTAAGTGCACGATGACTCACACGTGAAAGATTTTGTTAGTTGTGACGACTTTATATAATTTTCACCAGTTTATAGTTACGGTATGCGTAGTAGCGCGTAAAGAACGGTTTCAAAATCGAATCCCAATACGATCACAATATGGTTTTCGGCTTTTATATTTGAATTTATGTAAGTATATTCACTACATTTAGAATGAAAAAATTTAATTTGATGTGAATTACTTGGAAAAATTGTATTTATTTATTACTTCAATAGTAAATATTTTACTGTAGAAAATTAATAATAGATTACCTACTTATTAACGGATAGGCTTTTTAAAAGATCGTAATTGTATAAAAAAAATGTTGTGCGCACTTTACGAATTCGTACCTAATTCTGTATACATTTTTGACTTCATAATTCATGAACAAAGGAAACCCCTATAGCGCGCCATCTACCGACTGACATCGGCAATTAGTATTGTAAAAGTATTGAAGTGCTATTGTGACTGTAGGCTCGGTTTGTTTTTGTTTATGTGTTATTGACGTTTAGTTTTTCTTCTTTTTGCTCATGAAAAATCACAATAAGCAATTTTCAGAGTTGTATTCGCGAATTCAATTTCGCTGAAAATTCATACGCAATTTCACGTGATATTTTTTTTATATGGTCAAATAGAGAATTGTATCGCGATTTCAGCTGAAATTGAGGATAATGACGAAATTGCGCAATTGAGGCATAGTGGAAATACCCTTTATGAATTTTATACCACAACTTTGATATTGTACCACATTTTCCAATTTTTGGCTATTCTACAATGTCAGTTTTTTTATTTCATTGACTACTGCAAATTATACTATATATATAATATAACTACATATATAAGAAAATTGAGGTTATTGAAGCACAGTATTTTCCTAACGGTGATTTTTTCAATGTTGTTCTAAATTGTGTAACATTATTTTAAATTTTCCTTTTTTATTTATAAATTTACGGTCTTAATATTGGGCACTATACTATTTAATTCCTTATTATCCTTTTATCTCTTATTGTCGCGTCCCATGATTCAATAATAAAAGGATAATTATGAGATAATTATTGGCAGCCGAGGTTTAACACTCTCTTACAAAACAAAAGGCTGCACTTACGAAGGACAGAGAAAGAGGAAGAATGAAATCCCTTGGTGCGAAAATGGTAGTAAAAAGTACGCAAAGTCGGCAATCAGTAGTGAATTTCGTTTTGGGAATTTTAATTTATTTGCAAGAAAATTGGCATTTCAAACGAAGTAGTAAGAATTATACCTGAACTTTGTAATTTATTTCATTGGTTAATTGTTCTTTATTTGAATATAAAAATAAACATATTGCACAAAAAACGTATACTTCTATTTCACACGTACATAAGCTACTATTTTTTTAATTTGCAACGAAGCAACACGGTGCCACGGATAAGGGAGCTGTGCGAGAGAGACAACTGTCAGTTTATCGAACCATTAATTATTGAATTATGTGTGCGCCCACCACTGTCGTTTACGGTGTAAGCGATGCTGCAGTCACAATAGTGCTTCAGTACAAAATACCTTTAGTGTAGCTTAACAATGGTAAATTAAAAACAAAAATTAAAAAACCAATTTCTTTACTTGAGAGGAGTTATGACCATTAATATTACCTAATAACCACTCAGGGGACCTCTGACTTCTCAAACGACACCTCATTAGTGGAACTGCTTACATAGGAAAATAGAAAAAGGGAGACTAACAAAAAACACCTTAGAGAAATAATATATACAAGCGGGCCCATGCGCAGTCTGCGCAGGCAGAAATACACAGTAAACTCATCCCTCTTTGTAGCCACAGATAGAATCAGACTGTTCTAATAGTTCGCGGAAATAATTATTCTTATAAACCCCTTATTTTTATTATACATATATTACAAAGCATTAATGAGATTTATAGTACATCAGAACTTATTTATACTTATTAGGTACATACATAAAAACATATTACAAACTGACTGATATATGAGTGTCATGAGTTGAGGGAAACATGGTGTCACTTACTTTGTATACAATATTGGAGGAGAAAATATATTCAGAATTAACTTTTTGATTAAATGTTTCTTTAACAGAAAAAATAATATCTGAGAATCGTCTTACTCTAGTTTAAAACAAAATGGTCCTCTACCCGGTATATTGGCAAAGTTCACCTGCACTGAAGCAAACTCAAGACCGTTGTTAAATTACGGATATTCTCTAAATAGTTTTTTGTTATGTCATCATTGCGCTTTCATGTAATCGCGGACAGAAATTGGTGGTAAACTCACCTTGCTCTTGTGGCAACAGATGGATGCAGTATTATCAGCTGCCTCGCCTCGGATAAAGTTTAGCTGAGCAAAACTCACATATCTTCACCATGCGTTCAGCACAATTTGATTCTATCTCATCGTCTTTAAGGAAGAGACGTGCACCGCAATACGTCTTTCGTAGCTTTTCTCGCCGCCTCCTTGCACTGACATCTTCACTTAATCGCTGAAAATATCATGACACCAAAACACTACTAAATTGGGGAGTGAGTCTTTGCCTTTCTTCGGCCCGTTGTTTCTGCCTTTGGTTCCGCATACATTCCCTAGCTCGTTGCAAATAGATCTGCCGTTGTTGCATATCTTGGTTTATTGGAAGCCAATTACGTTTTTTGCGATCAGCTGATACTCCCATACACTTTTTTCTAGGCGTTGTTATGCGTAATTATATTAAATTGAATCCTATTGTAGTAAAAATGGTCATTACGATCAACAAAATAACTTTTTGAAATTATAAGGTTACCGATTTTATGTAGACTTTATGAGATAAACGCAATATGTCAGTATATCTAATGGAAAAATTTTCCGTAAATGAAATGTTGAATTGAAAATCACCAAAAATACCATAATACCAAACACCAATATGCTTACCATACAAATAATACTCGTAATAAATGTATTGCTTAGCAGTTCTCATAAAAGGAATCTCCGAATATTTTTCTGAAAGGGTAGCCATAAACAATATGGGCTGCAAATGAGATTGTGATGCGAAATTTACAAAAAATACCATAATACCAATTTACATATGGATGTACTTACCGTATCTACAATTTACGCGATAAATATATTTCTCAGCTTTTATCATAAGAGGAAAAAATGAATATTTTTAACTGACAGCGCCAGCGCAGCCTGCTACAATTCTTATTATTGAATGCCACTGATGGCGCGCTTTAACGGCTTCGTTCATGTACGAATTGTGTGGTTTATATTGCAGAATTGAGTAGAATTCGTGAATGATTTCATGAAATCATGAAAACTAAAAAAAACGGCATAAATGTTTAGCAGCTATCTAATACTAATCAAAAGTGTTGAAAAAAAATATTTAAGTTTTTTCTGATATTATTTTAGACATAATAATCTATTGGGGGACAATAGTGTATCTAAAATTTTTTATAAAGAAATAATGTTTTCTTGATGTTGTATTTAGTAGTAAAGATATATACTCGTGTATAAATATATGTA